TTTCTCTGACTCTGTTTCCTGCCAAGTAAGCACTAGGAAATGGTTAAGCACCTGGAGGTGTGGATTCGAGTCAGTTCCTGAAATCCCTCTACACCCCTTTGGTCTCCTTTTCAGAGGAGACTTGCTATTAATAAAATACTGTGGCCCAGACTAAGAAAGAACTCTGATAGAAAATCAATTAACATATTTCATCACATTCAGGCTAACAGAAAGAAGAATAGAGTAATCCCTAAAGATGCTGGAAAGGTATTTTAAAATAAAAACTCAACATTTATTTTCATAACTGAAAATATTTTAGTGTACTTGAAATTTAAAAATATATTTAAAGTGCCTAATTATGACCTCTTATTTCAAGTTACATACTTTTAAGGAATGCAGAATTCAAAATGTTTTAATAGGGTCATTACTTATTTTGTAGCAATGCATATGACTAATTTTCTAAGTCAAGAAATCATAAATAAACACTAAGCATACTTTTCATTCACATCAAAAAAATCAAACACAGTTCTCCAGATGTATTTTAGAGTTTGGAAAAAAAATTCAGGTACCATATGGCAATAGCTACACTGCATAAGATATCTGCACAGTTATCCATCTTCCCAACTATCTGTTCAAACGAAGTTCTCCGATACAAAACAGCAGTGCTTTGTAGTAAGGCTTTACCATAAGTTGTTGTTTTCTGAACTAGCTGGTAAACATTTAAGCAACCACAAGGAAATTACTTTAAATCTAAATATCCACAATAGTACATGTGAATAAATCTGCCTTATGGTCATCTGATTTACAGTTATGGTGTCTACTGGTTTAAATTTTAACTTTATTCTATTTTTGTTGCAAACTCATTTGATTACTTGTAAAAGTAAATTATAAAAATGATGACACAGATTGTGCTGTTCAACCAAAGAAAGCAGGCCTTAAAGAGAATTAGCAACAAAGAGAAACATATACAATAAACTACACACATCAGTTACAAGGCAGCTCATAAAAGAGGAACAAAAGATAAAAAAGAGAGAAAGCGATACACTGTACAAAGACTTAGCACTCTGAAGAGAGGAAAGAAGTAGACTACATAAACTAAAGAGGGTAAGTAGAAAACTGTAGACTCCTAAGACAAAGCCAGTGCTAATGAAGTATTAAATATTAATACTATACCCAATTTAATAACTGAAAACAAGCTGGGGAGATTAAAACTACTAAAATGGCCTGAAATAGCCTACATTTATATGTAAAATAGCAATACAGCTGTCTAGAAACTTTATCATAGTTGAAATGATACTTTTGAGTTCTATTTTCCTTTTTCTACTTGTTCTATATAATATAATGAAGTTAGTGTATGTTGTTATTCAAAAATTAATGAAAAGCTCTAAATAAAAATAAACTTTTATTGATAAAGGAAAACTAGATGAACACGCCACTGTTTTCCTTTGCCATTTCACGCCTTTAAAAAGCATATCAGCTATATTTATGCTCTGGACCAATGAGATACGGGACTAACCCTAAATCTCCAGCTCCAAAATTAAGTAATTCTGTGATTTTACCCAAATAAGGAAATATTGTTATCAGCAGCAGCAAAGAAACATTAAAAACAAACAAAAAACAACTTTCTATGGTAGAACATAAAATGCTAATCCATTAAATGTGGTAGAAACATTATAGAAGGAGTTTCAAATGAGGCAGCATGATCTAAATACAACATAAAATATTAGCTTACTGATTTATACTTCATATTGTTCCACTGGCAGATATCCCTATTCTTCAAAGCACAAGGAGCTGCCACTTCTGACTGAGCCCAGCATTTCAAAACTGGGAACTCTGAGAAAAGTGATAGAAAACGATGTTAGAAAACCTGCATTAGTACTCAAGGCTAGGCTTGTATTAAATTTCAACAGAAGTCTTTTATGGTGGGATAAAAATATTCAAATATTTTAATATATTATATACATAATTTGGACCCATCTAACACATACTGTTATTTTAGCATACTTTTTTAGTGAATGCCTAAGAAATTATAAAATTACAAAGGTTTTGCAGAAGTTGAATACAACTTCTTAACAAATCCCAGTACATTGAAATTAGGGGCTACTCTTTTAAAAATTTAATGTAAACTTTTTTGTGAGATATAATATACATTCAGAAAAGTAAACACATCATAAATGTACAACTCAATAAATTTCCATATGAAACAAACCCATAAAAGAGCACTCAGATCAAAAAACAGAACAATACCAGAACCCCTGATGTGCTCTCAAGAGGGGCACTTTTTCAAACTTTATTTAGGGTAAGTAAAAGGTACCATTAAGAGAAACAGAAAACTAGGCTGGATGAGCAAAGCTAATATAGCTGAACACTTTTTAATTTTCTCATCCTGGTGCTCGCTTCGGCAGCACATATAATAAAATTTTCTCATCATGAAAGGTGTGATGGTAGCAAATGTATTAGTAAAAACTTCCCATCTCCAGGTTTTAGTAACAGTGCTACTAACTTTCATAAATATTCTAAGTTAGCCCAAATTTGGAGACATAAAGAACCAAAATCTGAAAGGGGCTTCTTAAACTAAAGAAAAAGTCTTGATTCTGAGAAGACTGCAAGGCAAAAATGTAGTTTTATAATTTTCCCCAATTCCCACATAAAAACAGAAAGAACAATTACACATCAAAACTAAAAACTCATAATAGAAAAAATTTGCAACAAAACCAGTGATAAAGTATCCCCTAAAACACCAAAATACATGCAAGTGGAAACAAAACACCAAAACCACAAATCCTGCAATACCCGTATGAAGAAACAGAAAGCAGCAAAGGGGCAATGTGGATCCATGTTGCAAAAAAAGCACATATTATATGCCTACTTATATTATATGACTACTGATAAAAGAACATAGCACCACCTATAGTCTTGTCAAAGGAATCAAACCTGAATCTGATCATACCGCTGCAGTCAGCTGCCAATTTCAAGGAAATAAAGAAGTCAGAGGAACATGATGAACCGCATCATTAGTACAATCAGCAAAACCCCAACTATGAGAAACTCTACTTTCAACAGATTAGTTTTGAAGAAAGGAAAGGAATAGAGGGAAACCTGTAAATTAAGAGACTTAATGGAAATAACAGATTTTTATAAATGGAAAAGACTAAGGTAAAGTGTTTAAGAATGCCCATCTTTAACAACAGTATAAAGAAACAAGGAAGTGATTAAAAGTCAGTATAGTGAATTAGTCTTAGAGGGAAGAAGGAGGCTATGATTGGGACAGAATACATGAAGCTGCTGCTAAGGTAGCTGGCAAAGTTCTATTTTTTGACCTTGGTGGTAGTTACAAGGGTATTTGCCTTATAATAATTCACTAAACTATATATTTGTATAGTTTTTCTATATCTGTGTTTTATTTTACAATCAAAACGTTAAAAAGAAAAAAAGTAGCATGCTCTTGCCATCCTTGTCCTAGACTGCAGAATTGCCACCATACCTTTATTCTTATTTTCAACTCTCAGAAAAGACTTGTAACCCTCACCTTGGTCACAATACATCAACAAATCTGGGTTATTGACTATGATAAAGGTTTCTCCATCTTTACTATGCGGCCGATGATAGCGGTAGTGCACAGGCAAAAAGGCTTGGAAACAATCAATGCACTGTGAATCTTGTCTAGCATAAATGAGAACTTCAGCTTCCTTGGACAAATAGTTAGGAGCTTCTATATTGAAATTTTCTGAAACCATCACTGCCTGTCAAAAAGAAAACAAGTATTAATTAAAAAGAAGAAATGAATGAGGAAGATTAAAAAAACAAAATTAAAACCAGAAGATTGCTATACAGATATACAGAACTATCAAATTTACCTTCCTCATAAACAATCTCCATTCCCCTGCCATCCTCAATTTTAAGTAGAAAACATAGGATGTCACCTGTATTTAATAAAAATTTGCTTACTGAAAGAAAACTAGGGAAATTATACTCTAGGGTGCCAAATTTCCCAATAATAAAAATTATTTCTGTGAAATTTCCTTATTAAGTCTCTGTTTAGGTGACAAAACAGATATCGAGAAAAATTTTGTGAATAAATATAGCATTATTCAGTAAGTATGAAAACTATTATGACAAAAACAGTTAAACCTGTATTGAGTTAAAACGATTGGTATCATTTTGATAATTTCCTGTTCTTCAGAGAAGCAAGTGAGATGGCAGTGAGTAAGATAGAGCACTGTGGTCAGGAAGTCAAAGCAAATGTCAGCACTCTCTATATAGTGGGTATAAAAAGTTAATGGAAAAAACGGTTAATGAGTTTTTAAAAAAATAATATTATAAAAATCATTTTAAAATAAGTACAGTATTCTACACCAAAAGTGAAAATGCATATGGCAGAAATTAGCTGAGTTATAATGTGCATTTATTTATTATACATATGTATCATGTATATACATACAAATTTATGTATACACATACAAGTGTATATAAATAAAGGCATTATATAATCTATGTGTGCATGTATGGACATACATATACACACACATACAACTGTCCTGTAGACTCTCTATGCAAAGCCCTGATATACCTTAGAGAAACAACCAACATTAACTCCTTCCCATCACAGTGAGCATCCTAATTTTCGTATGTGACAGTGACACCAAGTGCTACATTTTTTTTCACATGTTGTTCCTTTTCAGTTAATCACAGGAGTAACAGAGCTCACTGGCAAAAGTCAAAGAATTCTATAATCTCATGAGCCATAAGGACCTCAGAAGTAATCAAATTAAACCACTGTCCCAACAAAGGTATTTTTCAGGTAGCCAGTCACTGCTTTACTACTTTCAGTAATTGTAGAGAGCTCATTACTTTGAGTCATCTCAATCTATCTACTGTTAAAGGTCATTTCTTTTTCATGAGTAGAAACTTTCTGTACTGGCCTGTAACACTCAACAGTTCTTCTTGCTTACAATGTCTGCAATAAGTCTGTTGTTTATTCCATTAAGGGTCCTTCAAACATCAGAAGGCAACCACATTACCATCACTAAGTCTTCTCCTAACCAGGGAAATATTCATAGTTCTCTTGGTTTCCAAACCATTCATCATATTAGTTTCCTTTTAAAATGCTCATATAGTAGCACTAATATCTTCTTTAGGCAAAACCTACATTAGCTTTTTGGCAGCCTTATCTCAGTATGCTATCTATCTGTCTGTCTATATTTTTTAAACGAATAGACTTTATTTTCAGGGCAGTTTTAGGTTTATAGAAAAACTGAGCAGTAAGTTCAAAGTTCCCATATAACCTCCTCACCACTCCCCACATACTCACATAGTTTCTCCTATTATTAACATCTGGTATTATTGTGATACATTTATTACTATTAATGAGCTAATACTGATACATTATTAAAGTCTGTAGTTTATAATAGGGTTCACTTTTTATGTTGCTTATTCTATGGATTTTCACAAATGTAAAATGACATGTATCCACCATTACAGTAACATAAAGAATAGTTTCACTAACCTAAAAACCCTGTGTTCCACCTATTCATTCCTATACTTTTCATTTGAACTTTTTGCAGAAGACTTTAAGTAACACGCATCCTATTTTTAAGTGATTGATTTCTTTATTAATTAAATGCAGGGCTTTGAATTTGTCTGTATTAAATTTTAACTTTCTAGCTATAGTCCATTTTTGTAGGTTGTTGAGATTTTATTAAAATCCCAATCTGCGGTGGGGCGTGGTGGCTCACGCCTATAATCCTAGCACTCTGGGAGGCCGAGGAGGGTGGATCCTTTGAGCTCAAAGTTCGAGACCAGCCTGAGCAAGAGCGAGACCCCGTCTCTACTAAAATAGAAAAGATTAGCCGGGCATGGTAGTGCATGCCTGTA